CCTCCCCCTCTCCCATGTCCCCCCGGAACTGTCAGTCCCGTTGTTTTCTCCTCCAGATTGTTCATCCAGCCTGTCCTATCCAGACAGGCCTGTTGATCTTTGTTTTTTCCAAAATGCTTCTTCCTAGTATTTGTTTAAGAGCCCAGGTGGTGTAGGTAGTGGGTTACGAGATAGGCCGCTTCTGGGGAGAAGGGCTTTCTACTTCTGTAGGCAGTTAGTCTTGGAAACCCAAAGGGGCAGCTCTATCTACCCTGTCCTATAGGGTCCCTATGAGTCAGACTCGACTCAAGGCAGTGAGTTTGATTTTGGTCTGGCTGCTGGTATTCTGGTGACTCGTCTGCTGTCTACTGTGCTTGCAGTCAGGTCTCTGGTTTAAGTGCGCCTCCCTGTTTTCAGTGTCTTTTGAGGATGGTGAGTATAAATTGGATTGGTTCTGGGCCTACTCCTTCTTGGCTGGGCTTGGGCTTTGAGTCTGCTAGTAGGAGTCACTGTCTCTGCTTTCTAGGTTCTGATTTTTGCCGTCGCTTCTCATTTCTCCTGTGAGTTTATGTCTTGAAAACAAGTCTGTTAGCATAATTTCACAGAGTTTCATGGTGTAATAGAATTAGATGTGTGCTTCTAATCTGTCACCTTAATCTAGAAACGGATATGTGAAATGGTATATAAAGTTTTAGGAGTGGATGGATTTATGATACTTTTTTGATGAGATCAATAGTCTGCTGCTTTTCTAAGTTGAACATTACAGTTCTTGAAATTTCATACTTGGCAATAAAACATGATTTCAGTTTGTCTTAAAAGCTTTAATTGTAGTTGGGCACAGTGTCTGGCTTAATGCCCGTCCCTTGATGATAAGTTCAGACACACTGGGGCGATAACTTTCTTGATGCTGTGACATTCTGAGTGTTGCCTGTAAAGTCAAACATAAAACTTAAAATGTCATGTTAGTGATAATGAAGTGTCCTATGCTAATTGTTTTATTAATCAGAAAGACTTTGACTCTTATTAAAATACATTTGAAGAATTTCAGCAAAAGTGCCCCCTTGTGGTAGATTGTATGTGGGCTCTGATGCCACTTTTCAAGCCCCTGCTGTTGACGTGATTCCTAAAGGACGGTGTCCATCAGGGTTCCAAGACTGTGATCAGTATGGAAGCTGTCTGTCACAGGAAAGTTGTGAAGCCACGTAAACAGCTCAGCTGACAGTGTATGGAGGTTTAGTATATATGTGCTGCAAGGTCTGCAGTT